CTTTTCTGAAGAAGGGTCCTGACCCGAAATGTCAGCTTTCCTGCTCCTCTGATGCTGCCTGGCCTGCTGTGTTCCTCCATATTTTCTGTAGGGCTCTTTTGTAGAGATCATAACCCTAAATTGTAGACAAAGCAGGCAAAAAATAAGGTAAAAGAATATGAAAGCTCTACTTGCTTTCAATTTGGAATAATAATTCGCTACTATCTTTAAGGAGAACAGTTCTTCCTATGAAATTGCAAGACTGTGCCATTTCAGAAGCAGTGATATCACATGCCATTAGTGGTGAGTAAGTCATTAATAAAACATGCAACAATGCATTTTGACAGGGAGAATGATAAAGCATCATATTTGGTAAAGGAATAAACTTGCAATTCACATGATCTGGACATTATTGTATTCTGTGGAGGCAGCACGGAGTTTTTTTGTCAAGAGGTTCAAGAAGTATTATTGACCTTTGCAGATAGGAGTCTGGCTGATAAGAACGGAATTATTTGAAAATTTCAGAAACAATTTGCTTATCCATCCTCACAAGAGCTATTTTTTTTAAAGGATACTGGCGTAGATAAATGATACATATCCCATGTACAATGGATCACATTACAGTATACATATTGAATATTGTAAGACACCAATGTGCCCAACTGTAAATGCCATTTTAGCATGGGAATTTAATCAATTAAGAACCATGGATCTGAGGAAATGGGGCAGTGTTGTGAAGTTGTGTAGTGTACTTGTGTAGAGAATCTATTTGTAAAATGATAGATGGGAAGAATGTGTTTTCCCTTTAAGAGGTGATGTGCTTTTCTAAGCTTGGAGATTTAGACAAAAATGTCTGCAAGCAGCTGCAGATGCACAGTCAGTTCTGAAATTGAAACATATATATCAATTGGCTGTCTGATTGGAAAACCTAGGTTTGTTTTGATGTTAAGGCAACTAGCATGAAACCAGCCAACTAATTTAAACCAGGCATTTAGAGACTGAAAACCAATTGAATTTAAATCTGATGTTGTTGACAATCTAGGACCAATCCTATTATAAGAAAATTGATAGGTCATCAAGGGTATATAAGAAGAGGGTTTTTCAAAGTCAGGGTGAGAGTGAACTGCCAATGGAAGTGTAAAACTCTGGCTCTCACAGAAATCTTTAAGCTTGCTGATTAAGCACCATCTAAAAGCTACCATGGTACTCTTAGCTAATATTCCTGACATCAGAATTTGGAGGAGAGAAACATTTTGGATAACAGATTTCAACGGAGAAAAGTGTTCCTGGCTGACGATCAGTGAAGAGGATGTGGAACATTCTAGAAGATACATCCTGACTGTGGTTTTGAGAGTCTAATTTTTAATTATTATTTTGGTTTATATAAGTGGAACTTGTATTTATTGAAACAGCATACCATTAGTATTCTGTTTTATTAGGGAATAGCTAGTAGTTAAGGGGGAATTGTTTGGTTTGTTAGTAGTTTTGTTAATTTATTCACTTTTAGAGTTAGACAAATAAATTGTTACTTTTTGTTTATAAAATATCAGGGATTTCTTTCATTTAACCTCTCCTTTATAACTGATTGGGAGGTGAAAGGCAGGTTATACCATTTTTCTGATTTCCTTTAGCAGACTGAGGTGAGGCAAGCTTCTGAGTGTTTCAGTTTTAATTATCAGAGGGGTTTAACCTCCCCTCCATAACAGAGACCAGAATGTCTTTATATTATGATTTGCAGATATGATGGCCTGATTTGTCATAGCCATGATGACTAACAACAGCGGACAAAGTGGAGTGGCACAGGCCTTGAGTTACCAAACAAATTGTTAGTGGATAATGGAGGTGAATTAGTGAATGACAAATCTTGGGAATGTTTGAGAACCTAAATATTATTATAATCCAAACTGCTGTAGAAGGTCTGTTCAGCAATGACTTGTGTGAAAGAACCATGTAAGTACAGTTGAAATGTTGCACAAAATGCTGGCATATCAGGCAAACTATAAGTAACAATGGCAATGGATTGGGCATAACATACAAAAATTCATCACAGATAGTTGGGGTGGGGAGGTACAGATCATACCAATTAGTATATGGTTGAAATTCAAATGGTCTTTCATACTGCATGACGATTATCTGTGACTTGTGGGAACAAGGGTTCAAAACCAAACAATATTATACCAGTTAAAGCTGAGACATCAGAAAAAAAACAGCAGGGCCTTGAAGCATGGCATTTGTCCTGGGAAATTTCAGATCTGGTGTCCTGGATTACTGAGAGAAGGACATGGGGACAGGAAAAAATATTGAGCATTACAAGAGCAACTTCATATTACAACATGGGAACAAGATTATAAAGGCGCATTTTCAGGACTAGTGGTGAATTATCAAACTCCCATTATTTCCCCAGCTTATTCTTCAAGATGTAGTCACTATCAGTTATTAGACTGTTGCATTAATAGGAACACCCCCTACTGAATCAATTGTTGAATGTTCTAGAAGAAGGATGTCTCACCAGGTAACAGTGGGAATCTGAAACTGTTATTTTCACTTGTGTCTACCCTTGTATAATTCATTTTCTCAACAGAAATGGAGTCTCAGTGATGGAAATGTAGGTCCCTTTAAGGGACTAGAAGATATTTTCTAATCTGATCAGAGATGTTATGACAGACACCTGGAGCAGCTGGGGACTTGAACCTCTGCCTTTTGGCCCAGAGCAGGGACACTACCGTGACACCACAAAAGCCCTTCATCAAACAGAACAATTCCAGATTTGATTGAGAACAACTGATGCTCAGGTTATGTCGGCGTACAACAGGACCTTGACTGGATGGGCCATTGGTCCGAGGAACAGCACATGGAGTTTAATTTAGATAAATGTGAAATGTGCATTTTGGAAAGGCAAATCAGGGCAGGACTTATACACTTAATGGTAAGGGCCCGGAGAGTGTTGTTGAACAGAGACCTTGCAGTGCAGGTAGACAGGATAGTGAAGAAGGCGTTTGGTATGCTTGCCTTTATTGGTCATTGCTTTGAGTATAGGAGTTGGGAGGTCATATTGCAGGTGTACAGGACATTGGTTTGGCCACTTTTGGAATACTGCATGCAATTCTGGTCTCCCTGTAATAGGAAGGATTTTATGAAACTTGGAAGGGTTCAGAAAAGATTAACAACGATGTTGCCAGGATTGGAGGGTTTGAGCTATATGGAAGTTGAACAGACTGAGGCTATTTTCCCTGGAGCATCAGAGTCGGAGGAGTGACCTTATAGACGTTTATAAAATCATGAAAGGCATGGATAGGTAAATTGCCAAGGTCTTTCCCCTGGGGTGGAGAAGTTCCAAACTAGAGGGCATTGGTTTAAGGTGAGAAGGGAAAGATTTACAAGGGACCCAAGGGGCAATGTTTTCAGAGGGTGGTGCATGTATGGAATGAGCTGCTAGAGGAAGTGGTGGAAGCTGGTACAATAACATTTAAAAGCCATCTGGATGGGTATATGAATAGGAAGGCTTAGAGGGGTATGGGTCAAATGCTGGCAAATGGGAGTAGATTTATATAGGATATCTGGTCGGCATGGACGAGTTGGACCGAAGGGTGTGTTTCCCTGCTGGAGAACTCTATCACTCCCCTACTTGATTCTCCTGGAATGGTTCCTAAATCCCTGGATATATTTTGATCTTTACATTTTATGCTGCAGCACCACCAC